TTGGCCCCGCGGCTGCCTGTGCAATTAAATTTCATTTTATAAAACTGTTCTGAAAATCGTTGAAGCTGCACTGCGTGTGCAATTAGCACATCGTCCCATTCTAAAGGCAACTAGAGACACAACAAAAACACGACATAAAAGCGTCAAATGTCCTGCCATCGACATCAAAGAGGCGGAGGCGTTGTAGACTGTATGGCGCCCGAGCAGGGACACATTAGGGTTGACATCCCCTACGGGTTGGCCCGGACTTTTGTGGTGCTTTGTTTGGTCTAGCTAGATTTGCATCCATGGCGAAAGCCAACAGCCGAGCACAAAAATTAGTCTCTCCGGCTTGAGTTTAAGGTAGTGCCTTACCAGAGTCACATTTTTTGGCACACGCCAGTGATGTTTCATGTTGGCGCACATACAGGCGAAATGAAACTGGTAGCGTGTGGCATTGAAGTGCTAGCCAACTGGGTCAACAATCGAAATTTTGCTTGTTGTTAGCAAAAATGCGCCTTGTTATCTTCAAATTGTGAACCATTCGAGCTTGGCAGAGGTTAACTTTGGCTAACTGATGATAATACGCGATGATTGCTTGGCATTTGCATAATTTAAATGCTGGAAATGTTAAACAACAAGTTGAATATGATTGCTAATTGCTAATTGCTATATAACTTCATTGTAAATTGCTAAATGCTATGAAACGCATACTAAAAGTTTTATCTTCGTATCTGCCATTTATTCCAATGTGTTGACTCCGGAAAAAAAATTACTAAAAAAATATATATAGCGCAATACTACTGTTGCATTAACTTTCAAATGAAAAGTTTTACCAGCTAAATAAACAAGCTAGCTAAAGATATACCACAAATAGTAATTAATATTTTTAAAATAAGCTTGGCGCTTTTCAGTACTTGAGCTGATAGCTTTTATAATTGCAATTTTTAAGTAATTCAGATAAAAGCTAACTAGACGGAAAAACTTGATGCACAAGCTCTGGAGTATTAGACAATGAGAGGCAAACAGCATTCGCTTTGATGATGCTCCCCAAATACTAGAACTGCGCTTGAGTGTTATTGTAGTGGTAAAAAATAAGTATAATTGTAAACGCAATTGCAAAAAAAAAGTTGTGCGACATTCGCCTTGGCTTGAATGCGTTTCAGCTTAGCTCGAGCTGCATAAACTATGGAAAACTCAATTCAATTTCCGGCAGACAGCTGCATGCTGTTCCACTTCCAGTTGAACAGTTACATTTGCCGGCTGTCAAAGTCGCGTCGGGTCATGGCATCTTTTCTCTTTACCAGCTGCATAATGGGTCATGCATACCTCTCTATATGGGTATAAGAGTATATCCTTATATATAAATGTGTTTGTCCTGACTGACTAAATGGATTTTGGAAGAAGGTAATACAAAAAGTCTTTTGTTTAAAGACTATAAAAATAATTTCAAAGTTCCTGTCTAAATCAACGTTCCCTGTTGGAAATGGGGTCAATGATTTGGTGGGTGAAGTTGCTGTTTTACATTCACATCGAAGAATCTTTGTCGAAATTCATATAAAACGTTTTGCATAATTTTTGCAAAATCCCACACGCTTGGATGGAAAATATGGGTCAAAAATAATTTGGGCAAAGTTTTAAGTTTCGTAAAAAATTTTCCAAGGACGGAAATTGGGTGGAAAATTGTTGACTAAAATTTAAAGCAATAAATTTGAATCGGCCAACGCTGAGAAATACCAGTTTGTATAACAATATATACAAATATAGGGTTTTATGGCTACGTTCAGCATAGTTTTTCATTTAAACGAGCTGCCAGTTTAGCCTAGCTTTTAAACGTGCCGCCATTGAAGAACTGCCAGACGCGCAGCAGCTAAAGCAAACACCTCACATATGTATGCACACACACACACACACACACACATACACATTTGCACACTCAGCGCACACAAAACAAGCCAGCATCAACAACTCTTAACCTCAATGAGCCTCCGCAACGTGGCGTATGAGTAACGCAGCTGTTGTTGGAAAAATGCTGTAGCACAAGCTGCGGGGGCTACTTGTTGGTTCCTCAAATATTTATAAAAAGCAAAGGGCAGCCTTTTGTTGCTATTGCTGTTGCTGCAGTGCAGTTTGCCAGCTACTTTGCCACTTACCCCTTTTATTGCTGCCCCTTGCAGATGCACTCAAATTTGCTGATATTTATTTGGCGCCGCAAACTTTCATTTCTGCTGCTGGCGTCAGGTCTTGTCTTGCTTGGACTGTGGACATGGGCCATACTTATTGATAGTGCGAAAACACTGCCAGCATTTACACAGCAGACATCGCAGTCCGGCGAGGCCAATTATCAGCACGTTCACATCATCCAGAAGTTGATTGCCCAAGCGAATCGTGTGCTGCGCGCCGAGCGACAAAGGGACAACGCGGAGCGGCCATCGCCGGCACAGCGTTTGCTGGGCAACGTGCGCTTTTTGCGTCCGACACAGGCCAAGAAGGCGCCGCTGCCATTGGCCGAGAGCTATCTATTTGAGCAAGAACGCCTCAAGATCCTAGAGCAACAGCAGCGCCAGCGCAACGCAGGCATGGACGAGCTCAACGCCAACGCCGAGGATGATCGCATGCTCAGCTCTGCGGAGCGTCAGACCCAATACGAGCACGAATTACAACGCATGGGCGTGCCAGCTGTCGCAGGCATTGGCCCGGATGGACCACGTGCTCCAGCAGAGCGACTGGTCCACCTGGATCTTAAAGGCGCGCCACCCAAGCTGAGCTTTCTCAAACAACTCTTGCCCGTGCTGCGCGCCCTGGGCGCCACCGGGCTGCTTATTGAGTACGAGGATATGTTTCCCTACAGCGGCACGCTGCAGCCCCTTGCTGCTCACAATGCCTACAAGGAAGCCGAACTGAAGGTAATTTAAAAATGTACTTATTTATTTTTCGTCCTGCATGTTGGTGAATATAATTTAAACACTTTTTGTTATTGCGCTATTGAAATTTGTTGACCATTTGAAAAACTTATTCCCACTTTCTTTTTTTCATAAACCACCTTTTGGCATTTATCAACACTAAGCTTCAACTCCTTTGAAACTGCTTTCTCTTTGTTATCTTCCAAAGGATTTTCTGGAAACGGCTTGGGTCGAGTATGGTCTGAGCGTTATGCCGCTGGTCCAAACTTTTGGGCATCTGGAGTACGCACTGAAGTTGTCCGGTTTTGAGCAGCTGCGCGAGCTGCCCGAGAGCCCGCAGTCGATTTGTCCCAGTCAACCGCATAGTATGGCCTTGCTGGAGCAAATGCTCACCCAGGTGATTGAGCTGCATATGCGGCCCTCGGGCAATGCCACGCCCTCGACGCCGGAGCTGCCCATCAAGTTTACCCATTTGCACATTGGCTGCGATGAAGTGCAGCGCATGGGCGAGTGCTCGCTCTGTCGCCAGCGACTACGAAGCGAACTCTTCCTTTCGCATGTGATTAGTTTGGCGCATTTTGTGCGTCGTCGCTGGCCGCAGCTGAGCGTGGTCATCTGGGATGACCAGCTGCGTGACATGACGCTGAGCGAGCTGCAGAACTCGCAGATCGGCAGCTATGTGGAGCCCATGGTGTGGGTGTATGCCAGCGATATATATCATTTTATACAGCCACAGCTGTGGGACACCTATTCGAAGGTATTTCCGAGCGCTTGGGCTGCGTCTGCTTACAAGGGCGCGTTTGGCGAGAGTCTGCTGGTGCCCCCGCTACAGCAGCATCTGGAGAACAATATACGCTGGCTGGCGGTCATAGCTAAGGAGGGAGGTCGCTTTTCCAAGGGCTTGAGGGGCCTGGCTCTGACTGGCTGGCAGCGCTATGATCATTTTGCCGTGCTCTGTGAGCTGCTGCCGGTGGGCATGCCCAGCCTAATGACATCTTTGTCCACAGTGTCCAAGGGTTACTTTAGCACCAATCCACGTGACAATGAGCTGTTGCGTGTGCTGCGTTGCGTCTTCCAGCCGGATAGCCGGCGCTCTGGACATCCCTGGCTGGAATTACATTCCAATGCACATTACAGTCAACTATTCGCCGTGTGCAGCTATCCGGGCCACCTGGTCTTTAAGTACGCGCTACGTTTATACGACAAACTGGCCGAGGTGCGCAACTATCTGCAACAAACGCGGGAACACAGTGCCTGGCTCTCCGACTACAATGTCAGACACAACTTTAGTTCGCCCCTGCGAGTACAGGAGCTGACGGCGCGCACACCCCAACTAATTGAGGAGCTGCGCGCTATGGCACGCGAGTCCCAACAGCTCTTGTGGGAAGTGTACGATGAGCATACGGTAGTGGAATTTGTGGAGCAGCACATTTATCCCAGCATCAATGCGCTGCATCAGCAGCTGGCTAAAGGACAAACGCTGTTGCAAAGACGCACCTGGCCGCAACGGCCGTTGCCGCTTACCATGGAACAGCAGCAGGATATGGGGCTTGTTACCACGTTGGATCAGCGGCAGCCGCAGGATCAGCAGCAGCAGCAGCAGCATTAAGCATAACACTGAATAAAATATAACTGATTGGTAACAGTTGGGAGCACATACACATGCATATTTTGTAGTCAAGGCGTTCCAAACGCCCTAAGCCCTATGGATAATAACAAATGTTATCACCGCTGCGGCATTTCTCAACAGCAACGCGTAGTTAACATCAAATGTTCATTTTGCCAATATGTCACTTTATAAGCTCAATTAATCATACATACTCCATGTTAACTTTACAACCATAAATCAAAATAAATTTTACATATATGCTAAAAATACAATGTAACGTATTTTTCAAATACAAATTTATGCGCCATAAGTGCAATGGAGGCTAAGCTTCCGGCCCAGGGTTGCCAGCCTGGCGCAGCACAAAGGACTTAACTTAGTTTTGGTATTTTAGCAGTGAGATGCGTATTTTCGACAAAAAGGACGAGAAATGGCGATGCGGAAAAACATGTGTTCGCGCAAAATCGATGAATAAACGCCAAAAGTAAACGTGGCGAGGCTTTTTATATACGAAAGTGCTGAGTGGCGAAACAAAAATTAACAATTAATAATTATTGATTGAAAAATAGCAAAAAGAATAAAACGTTGCAGTTTCTACTTCTTATTTTCACGGCGGCTGCATAATTGTACATTTTTATATAATAAATATCGGGCAAAAAATGGGCATTCCAGAAACGCCGAAAACAGCAGCAACCACAACAACAACAACGACAGGCACAGAAGCGGCTAATGAAAGCAAAAACGCTCTGACGTTATGCACGTTTCAGGAGATTTTCAAACATGTAGAGCCGGAAGTGCAAATCGAGGCGTTCGAGGTGAGCATGCATGCGTGTGTGTGTGTGTGTGTGTGTGTAAATGAAAACAATTTCTGTGTATTTATCCCTTTATAGCTAGCGCAAGGCTCTGGCCGCGGCGATAACTATACGGCAGCACTGTATCGCATCTGCCTAAGTGGGAAACGCCAAGAACTAGATGGCAGCACTCATAAGTGGGAGCAGAACGTTATATGCAAGGTGTTGCCAGAGAGCGTGGTCCAAAGAGAAGCCTATAAGAGCGACAAGCTTTTTCGGTTGGTTCAACTACTTTTTAATATCAAATAATTTATATGTACATATCTATGTAAATATAAATTTAAACAATTTGTTTTATACTTTGCAGCAACGAGGTGGAATTCTATACCACAATAATGCCAGAGCTGGTTAAGTTTCAGGCCAGCAAAACGGGCTTGGACGCGCCATTGTTTAATTCCATACCCAAATGCTATACAGCGAGGCATGATTTGCTAATAATGGGTAAATCTGTGTACACACTAAAGTTCTTCGAATTTGAATTTAATTATTCATATTTTTTTCTGTAGAGGACCTGCGCGTTCGCGGCTTTGAGATGTCGGATCGACACAAGGGCCTCAGCATGGAGGAGACGCAATCGGTTCTGCTGCAGGTGGCTCAGCTGCATGCGCTCAGTTTAGCCTACAAGTTTGAGCATCCGCTGGAGTTTACAAAAATGTGCAGCACCATCAGCGAGGGCATATTCTGCACAGCTAATACCAGCTGGTACAAAAACTATTACGAACGCCTGACAAAGAACGCTATTAAAATGGTATCCGATGTGCTGCCCGCGGATTCAAAGTACATGCAGGCGATGCTTAGCTTTGCGGAAAGCTCTTCCTTCTTCGGACAGATGGTGGAGCTGGCCAGCGCAGAGTCGCCCTTGTCGGCCATTTGCCATGGCGATTGTTGGGTTAACAATTTTCTGTATCGCTACGACCCGGAGGATCGACAACGCGTGTTGGAAGTGGCGCTGATTGACTTTCAGCTGGTACGCTATAGTTCCATAGCATTGGACATAGCCAATCTCCTGTACTGCTGCACCACCAAGCAAATGCGAGACGCTCAACTGAAGCCGCTGCTCAAAGTTTACACAGAGGAGCTGTACAAATGGTTGGAAGTGCTGTGCAACGTTTTGCCAGAGCAATGTAATACACTGGAAAAGTTGCAGGAACTGTAAGGCGAGAATTGTGAGCTAACAGGCGCCCAAATTAATTATGTCACTTTTACAGCTTTGCTCAGGAGCTGAAAACCTATGGACGATTTGCCCTTGGACTCGCTATGGACATTATACCCATAAGTACGTGCTCATCGGAGGATGCACCTGATATGTATTTAAATCGCAATGATGACCTCGATGGGGATGTAGGCGCGCCCACATTAAACTTTCCGCCCAACGACTTGTGTCGACAGAAGATGTCCGAAATAGTGATTGACATGGTCGACAGTGACATGCTCTAGAGGTTGGCCAGAGCACAACTGGAAGCCCGATTAGATCTAGTCTATTCCACATAATTTGGAGTTATGCTCAGTTTGTAGTATTTACTTTGAACGTGTAGCCTATTATACAAAAGGTAATCTAGGTTAATTAACAACGTTTATGCCCACAAGGTTTAGGTTAGCCTAGTTTTAAAATACTTCTCAGCTCTATGTTAACTGTTTACCGTTACGTTTCTCTAGCAGCCAACTTAACAACGTTGCAATCTCTTACGATTGTAATGAAAACTTCGAAATGTGAATTGTATGCATAAAATAATCTAGGTATATTTAAACACAGACAATAGAAAACTTGTCGAGGCATACGCGTTTTTCTATAGCAATTTCTTTATACAAAGCAATAAATTACAATCGAACTTAATAGCTAGATTAACTAATAGTCCGCCTTGGCCGTCCAGGTAGCCTTGTTGCCCAGCACGCCCTTGTCGCAGTTCTCGCGCAGAAACCTAAGACCCGCCTCAATGGAGCGTTCAAGTTCAGCTTGTGACTTCGCACGCTTGGCTGTTGGCGGCCCGTTAAAGCCCTCTTCGAGACAAGCAGGTGGAGGTATCGCGATGCCCTGATGCTGGGCATGCATGGAGCTGCTTGCTGATGCTTCTCCATCATCGATATCATCACTGGCTTTTGTGTAGTTGCGGCGCTGGAATTGCTTTTCGCGTTTAGTGGAATGGTAGCTGTTGAACTCCTGTTCACTGCTGGACCACATGGGAACCGGTGGTGGCATGCTGCTGAAGTTGATACGCTTTGGCATCGGCGCCATTTCTGGCATGGGCGCGAATTCTGGAGCACGCACGGCGCGTTGCTGTTCGTTCCACTGCTCCTGGGACATTGGCAGCCGTTCGGGCTTGTATTGCCATTCCTCTGGTGGTGGCTGCTCATCTTCGGACTTTTTAGCCACACCGCTTTTGTCTCTGTCCCAGTCACGTATATGGTCCTTGCGCAGCTCTTCGCGTTCGGCCTCCTCTGCTGCTTTTTGCGCCGCCAGTGCTTGTTCCTTTTCAGTCCTCTCGCGTTCGCGCTCTGTTTCCTCCAGCTTAGCCTCAGCCGCCTTGAGCTGTTGCTCGCGCTCATACTCCTCTTTGCTGATGAGCGGCAGACCATTGCGTGCTCTAATCCGATTTTTGGCAGCCAGCACGCGATCCGCAACGATTTTATCGCGCTCGGCACGCAATTCATCACGTCGCTTTTGCTCCGCCTGCGTGGCCTTACGCGCCAGCTCCAGCTCGCGTTGCTGCTGCTTTCGCTCGGCCTCATCCGTGGAGAAGGCATAGTAGCCTACGCCATGTGTGCGCGCCTCATCGAAGAACACATCCTGATAATGTACATCTGGCTTTTCAAAATTCTCTAGCTCCTTGCGCTCCCAGGTGACGCGCTGCTCATCATGCTTGGTCATCGTCGACATGGCCTCGCTGAAGACGCTCTCCGTGGCCCGTGGCCCATAGAAGGGCTCATCTTCTGCATTCCCGTCGCTGCTGTGATTGCTGCTGTGTGTGCCCTTGGTGTCTATCATCCAATTGGCTTTGGTTTGGTCCAAACGCTCGGGCATGCTGTCTGCCAGTTGCTTGTCCCGCCGCATTACCTCGCTTAGCTCCTTGCGTAAGCATGTACGCGTCCGACCTAGGCAATCCGTGTACTCCACTTCGTCATCGTCGTGGCCAGTAGCTGCATTTCCGCTGTCGTTCTCGCTACTGCTGCTGCTGCTCAGCCGATCTCGTGGAGCAGAGCTTGGTTGCTGTTCCTCTTCGTCGCACTGCTGCTCCTGGCGCTTGCGATTGAACATTACCAGGCAATTGTCGTCAGAGTTGAGGCTGCCGCCGCTGCGGCTCATGCGATCGTAGTATTTACTCTTTGCCTCCAGCACACGCCGAGACTTGTCCAACTGGCCATAGTCCTCCGTTTCATACACCTTTACATCCTCGTTGCGGCTGATCTCCTTGTAACTACGCTCCTTGCTGCTGCCACTAGATTTTGACTTTTCCTTATCGCTGGACATTTTGTTTGGCCTGAATTCACTGGCCGTCGTCTTGGAGGCTTTTGCCAGTTTGACTTCATGCTGTTTTCGCTGTAATTCCGCTTTTAAACTAAGCAGCGATGACAAATTAACGCTGATTGCTTTGTTTGGGTCGTTCATATTCAAAACAAGAAAGTAAATTTAAAGAAGAGCAGAATCAGCTGTTTTAAGTGGAAGCCTCTAGGTACTCGATACCAACTAGAACCAATAATACTAATCGCCAATAGAAATTAAATTAATAAAAAAAAAGTGTAAGCTAGCGAGTCATTCTAGACGGTTAAGTGCAAACACGGATGTTTCTTAACATTGGAAACACAAATAGAATGTGAAGATTGAAGTAGAAAAGCAAGTTCAGTTGCTTCAAGTACTCGATAGCCGACTATCGATAGCAAGATATCGCGATTAAGAAAGCAATCCCAATAGTGATTACAGAAAACAAGCCATATAGACAAAATAAATTGGAATGTCTGGCGCTGGCGAGGAATTTCAGGTGGTCACGCGTAAGAAATGGATGGCGCGTAAATGCCTAGGGCGACGCAACCGCCACAAATCCGAAAGCGATTACTTAAACGATTGCCCCGATGTAAATGTGGACCACTTTCAAGCGTAATTGCATTGGTTTATATGTTTATATTCATATGCTGATAATTGTTGATGCACTTGCAGACGCCTGGAGCGACTCTGCGGGGAAATGAGCCAACGTGATTATTTTATCTTGTCTATGGAAACGCTGCAACAGCACCTGGACATGCTCAAGCGGCCACTGGAACGTATAGTCTGCCTGGGTCTGGGACCATTCACACGCACACACCAGGCGCTGCATCAGGCAGCGTTTATTATGAGTGCCCAGCGGCAACACAACATCAAGGAGGCACTCTACTATGATCCCGTGTTTCGTGAAACTGAGAAAGAGCTAATACAGCGTCTGAATGGCACTGTCATAGCCGAGGACAGAGCGGGCAGGCATGAAGCTAATGTATCCACTCTTTATTATTTGCCCCACTGTCCCTACGCGCTAATGCACAATCTGCTGTGGTGCAATTGGAGCAGCGAAAGCTTGGCCAACGTTTTTCTAATCTCGAATAGTTTCGAGATGCTAACACTAAACAGAACTCTATCTAAAACTAGAATTCCCAATGATCACATTGCCCGCATAACGGCCCACTGCACAGAGGCTCCTTTAGAGGATGACTACGAGCATAACAATGTTTTCAATGACCTGTCATTGCACAGTTTTCCCAGCGACAAACTACCAGCGGTTGATGATGCAATATTTTGGACACGATGCGCTCCTTTAAATGTGCACGAAGATGAATTACAAACCGAACTAAATATGGAGGCAGATATGGCTGCATTGAGCATAGGATCATAGTTAAACTTTTATGTGTCACGGAATAAACGATGGTCATTTACTTGAAGGAAAAGAAATGTTTCATGTATTGGCTTTTGGATAGCATTCAAATCTATTTTTAGACTTTTTTTTTCAAAACCTTTGAATCGGCATACTTTTTCAGCCCCTTCTTAATTCTTATATCTCCATTTTCTGCCGATTGTCAGAATGCGAACTCAAAGCATCTTGACTTTTAACTTTCCGTAAGATCTATTCTCAATTTAATTAAAATTAAATACATTGGATAAAAAGCAAGACAAAAAATAAATGCATAAAACAATTTGCCTTATAGGCACATGATTTTATCCAGCTCTTTATCCTGCTCCTTCTGTGCCTTGGCAGCCGCCCGCTTACGTTGTCGTGAATTTTTGCGCCGGCTCTCTCTTGACTTTGGCTTCTTCTTGCGGGTGCGCTGCACCAAGCTTGGTGGCTCCTCTACCTTCGATTTTTTCTTGATCATTGCCTTTTTCTTGGAGCGCCGAGCGCCGCCTACTTTGACTGGAAATGAACAGGGCAACAGCTGCAGCTGTTCGTGCAGGCGACTACAAAGCTTCGGCGAAATGGGCAGATAGCTGGCGGCCTGTGTGAGAAAGTTGATGTCATTGGGCGACGTACCCGCCAGCAGATCGTGCAATTTAAAGCTATTGGGTGTGGGTTCCGGCGTAGGTTGGCACAGCAAAAACTTGTCCTTATACTTTGCCGTATAACGTAGCAGATACCTGCCAGGCGTCACGCTGCGCAGCAGTTTCAGGAACTCGCGCAGCTGGCTCAGCTGCTGTGGCATGCTTATGTGATAGTATTCGTGCAGCTGCTGCTCCAGTGCAGCTAGTGTTAGCGGCTCCTCCAGCAGCGGCGCCAGATCTTGCAGCGAAATACGCGAGCAATGGCCTATGTCGGCCTGGAGCAGTTTCAACTGCAGCCAGGCGCTAAGCAGCTCGTACTTGGTCATGGTCTCACAGCCGCAATCTGGCTTATTCTCCAGCTTGATGAGATGACAGCCCAGCATTTGATTAGCCGCAGCATCGCGCACGGCCGCTATCGGAAGGCTGCTGTACATCAACAGAGCCGGCTCCGCCTCGGTATCCGCCTCCCCAGCACGCAGACGCCAGCTGACCAGTGCACTGTTGGACTTTGCTTCTGTCATAGGCCGCACATCCTCATCGATAGGCAACAGTTTGTAATCGGCAGGTTGCACTTTGTCATTCAGCGCTGCGGCTGGCGCATCATTAGGTAGCTGCACGACGCCGTCTGCGGTAAACTGCACCCAGTTGGCTGGTGCGTATGCTGTGTAGGCCTGCGTCAGGAGGCGGCTGTTTGTGTGCCAGCCGCAGTTGCGTGCAGGTAGTGGCTCCTTGAACTCAATGCACTTGTATTCGCTGTCGGGAATATTACTTATGTGCAGCATCATTTCTGTGGGCAAATCCACGTATGCGCCTGGCGTTAATAGCATCAGCAGTGCATCCAGGGGCAACACAAACACATCCTCATCCGTTTCCAGCAGGTGGCGCTCAAGCACATCGGAAACAGACTGTGAAGCAGGCTCATCATTTACGCCTGTATAGGCATAACGCTCCAAACGCACCCGCAATGTGCTTAGCTCCTGTTGCGGCAGGCGCACCTCTGGCCAGAGTCGCACCTGACCCCGACGACATAACAGCTTAATATTTTCCATGCTGGCTGCCGCCTCTTGCAAGCCTTTACATTGATGCAGTTGTGGCAAACCTGTGTGCGTTGAGTAGCTGCTGTTGGGTAGCCCACGCAGCAGATGCAGCATTCTCAGTTCGAACCATTTGCTGTAGTGCATCACCAGTGGCTTCATGGGCGCATAGAGTCGCTCCTTTTGTGCGTTGGCATAGTCGTAGATATGCTTTTGTACGAGCTGCTGCTCCTTGCAGCGTTTGCCGTTCGTGACACGCCAAACAATAAAATCATCCTCGCTCTCGGCCAGGTTTTGCTGCCAGGCGAGCAACAGACGCAGGCAGGCCGCCTGCTGTGCAGCACTGAGCACGGAATAGCGTTCCTGCGGATTGGGAAATTCATATGGCAACTGTTGCTTTGTGTGATCGTAAACAGTGCGTCTTAAAAGCTCCTGAGTGCGTGGATCACTTCTGGTAAACCCACAGGCGTAGGATGTAAAGACTTGCGAAGGCCCCGGTTGCTCCTCTTTTAAAAACTCTGAATCGACGTCGTTAAGAAAGGTAAAGAGTGAGTCGTCGGCTTGCTCAATCGATTTGTTGAATACCCTGTATGACGGTTGATTGTGAAATATTGTGACACTGCCCTTACATAAATTCGTTTCCATGTTTGTGTATACTTATTTGCACTTTTCCAAAGGGTTCTTACCCTTTGGTTGGTTGTTGTTTTGTGGTTCCGATTTGCGCTGTTTGTTGTTCTGTTAACTTTACATTTGCGTTAATGTTATTAACAGAACAGAAATTACTTTTGTAACTGTCATTACGCTTAAATAAACGAAAATGCAATTATGAATTTGACTAGACAAATTGGAAAATCAAATGTTTTTTTTGAGTGTAAAATATCGTTAAGCAATTCATCCCCGCTCGTGGTTTCTTTTAAACAATTTATTTCCGTCATTATCGTTAAATTTAAATGTGATTTTTATGCAACATTTAACTTGTTTAAATTCGTCAGATATGTGAGAGTTATTTAAGTCCAAGCAGTTTCTAAAAAACCTTTTAAACAACAGCATGTATTTTAACTATCTAATATTGTTTTTTCTGCTTGTTCTTCCAGTTCTAAAAACTGAAGCTGCTTCAGCAAATATTACTAGCTGCGACAAGGCAAAAAAGCAACCAAAACTCGTGAGCTTAAACTTTTAGCATATACGAAATTACCATCGTTAAATGTATTTGCTTATAGTTAAGCTCCTGTTGTAATGTTCCCAGAAATGATCAATTCAGCAAGTCCTGCCGCAAGTCCCTGCTCAGTCAGACCAATCTAACCACCAATAATGGGGAGACTCGTAATTTGAAATCGGACAAAGTGGCTCTACATGCAGTAAGTACTTCTACTCAACTTTTAAATCGAAATAATAAAGGGTATCTTTTACAGTGTATTGCGGAGTGCGTATTCAAAAAGAATGGTTATTTACTCTCCAATGGAACTGTTAATTTACCTGTTATGCAAAGGAGCCTGGAACAGCGCTATAAAAAGGATGCCGTCCTCTCAAACCTCATCGTGAAGAGTTTAAAAAGCTGCGTGGACTACGGTATGTTTTTAAGAAGAAACAGTAGCTACCCTAGATTGAAATTCTTAACAAGTTAAGACTTCGTAAGGACTAGGCGTTTGCACTTCCTGAGTTGAACAACAAAATATTTTATATATCAAATAACCAATATTGATATTATTATAAAAGCAAGTTAACCCTAACAGCTCAAAGCCGTACCCAACAATTCCAATGGCTGCATGCAAAGGACAACTGCGATTACTATCCGGCTACTTTGCTGGCCTGCATCATGGAACAGGTTTATCAGAATTGTCCGGCATCTATATGGAAAAATACGGCTGATTGTGTGGGCATGCGGGATTACTTGATTGCCTGCAATGATGTCAAAAGTGGCAGAAAGTAAACGTATGCAATTACGTCTATTAAAATAGATCAGCAAACCTAATCGTTCGTTTAATGGCTTTATACTTAAATTGATAACATACAATTTAGTTGTCATTTGTCAGTAATAAGTCTGTATTACTCCGCACACACATTAAACTTCATGGTGGCCAAATCCGCCAAGCCGCACTCGATGACATCGCCAGCTTTGAAAGCATCGGAGCCATTTGGCGTGCCCGTCAGTATCAAGTCATTTGGCTCCAATGTCATATACTTGGATACATAGGCAATAATGTCAGGCACTTTGAAAACCAAATCAGCCGTGCAGCCACTCTGCTTCAGCTCTCCATTGACCTTAAGCCACAGCGGCAGGGCATGGGGATCCTCCACAGCATCAAACGGTATTAAACGTGAAACTGGCGTTGATGTGTCGAAGCCCTTGCCTAACGTCCAGGAGCCGCCAGAAGCGCGCGCAGCAGCCAAATTGCATTGGGCAGTGAGGTCCAAAGCCAAACAGTAACCGCCAACATGTTGCATGGCCTGAGCTTTTGATACATTCTTGCACCGCGATCCGATGACCACGCCTAGCTCCACTTCATAGGCCACCTTGGTAAATACTTTGGGCAACTAAAACGGACGACTCGTATTAATTAGGTGTAGATTTTAAAAGAGCGTAGGTCACCTACGATAATGGGACAGCCTTCACGCAGATAAGAAGTTGTTGGTTTTAAGAAAACGATCGGCACCTGTGGCACCGGCACATTTTTTGCTCTGACCGCGCACCTGCGTATGGCAAACAAGTTGAATTACCGTTTCAATCAAGGCTTGCAATATCAATTACATATAGTTTAGGGCAACTCCAATAATCTTCTTGCCCTCGAACACAAAGTTGGCCGCATCCTGGTTTCGTTGAAAGGCCATGAGGCAGCGAGCGGATAGGCGCACCACTGAAAACCGTTATCAATTTGTTTGATTTGAAGATATTTTCAGAAAATATATATATATATATATAATGTGAATGTGAGATCGGAGATTGCGACCACTGCGGTCGACTGAATGTGAGTGAATGTTTTGCTTTTAATTAGAACAATGCTAAAAGCCACTTACTTGCGTCAATGCTGTATTTATTGGGCCTCAAGGTTATCTGGAGACGTGCCCCGCTGCCCAAATATAGTTTATCAATGGAAATTAAATAACATAAAACTCAATTGATCAACAGAGAACTAGATCGCTTGTTCAAAAGAGTGTAGTGTAACCGTTGCACTCGATTAGCGCAAAATCAGTAGCGTTGACGCAAATTCAGCAACGCACTGTAAACGCGAAGCGTAATCAGCAACGTACTATTTGTCAGGTATCGATGTCTGTGAACTAGAGTTGTTCACATTTTGGCGTGGGAATTTAACATTATTTAGTCTTATTGGTTGTTTGCCAATTCTTTTGAAACTCTAATTGGCATACGCTTATCAAGAAAATTTTTTACGCTTTTTGAAATAGTAAATAACTTTTATGTTACAGGAGATCGCAACCTTTATTTATTAAAATAATAATAATTATTATTTTATTATATAATATTTTCTTTTATCAATCAAAAACGGTTGTTTCTCGAAGTAAAAAGTCATAAATAACAATAAATATGTTGATAATATCGATTGATAGTCGAGTATATTTTAACATACGACTAACGATATCATGGCTTCATAGCGATAGTTTTGCTCAAAAGAACGAACCAAATGAGCGACAATAAGTGATTCGGTTCGTTCATTCAGTTCGGGAAGTCGTTCGATCGAACATATTCCGAACGATTGGCACAACTCTAACATTTACGTGCCGTCGCTTATTAATAGTGGAGAAAAATTTATAAAAATATTTAAAATTAAGTGTATAAGTGTCACACAAATACACGTGCATTTGCGGGCAATTGCACAGTGTGATTACAATCCTATTGCTGTGTAAAACCACAAAGAAGGCCAGCATATAGCGCAAAAGTCAAATGAAAAGTATAAAGAATGACTTGTCAAAGAGAATAACACGAATTTGTTGGAGGCAATAACGCGCGGCGTGGTGAATATATATAAAGCGCGAACGAGAAAGCAATGAAAATTGTAAGTGGGTAAAAACGAGAAAGCGCTAAAGTCACCACCCTGAGAAGAGAGTTGTTGTAGGGACAACCTCAAACCAAATTTGTAATTTTCTTGCAACTCTAAATAATGCCCAATTATCAATTAATGCCAGCATACAAGTGCTAAGTTAATTCACGTATTGGTTGAATTAAGTTATTGCGAAACGATAAATCTGTGTGCTTGTGTGTGTGTGCGTGCACCAAACAACAGCAGCCAAAACAGCTACAGAAATTCAACAAACACAGCAGTAAAAGAAACAACAACACAATGATAAAAATGGAGACTGACAAAATAATGGACGAGACTAACTCCAATGCCCAAGCAGTAAGTACATTATTCATTCAATTATTTGAGAAGTAGATTTTGTGTTCTTCATATGTGTATTCCTATATGTATATATGTACATATATGCAATGTTCAATATCAATACATACATCATGCTCAAGGTGTCACATATGCAAGCATGTACAAACATATGTACGAATTATGTTCGTTTGTATTTGTGTTTTATTTTCGTATACACATACGTATACAAATGTATCTGTATTTATGTACATGTATATATAAATTTTGCACTCGTGCACTCTATTAAAATTTTGTTAGCTTTTCTTCTTTTAATCAGTTCGCATTCGCCCTTTTACTATTAAATAGTTGAAAATAATGATTCATAAAGCAGATGCAGGTAGCATTAACTGATTTGCCATTCTATATAAACACATATATTATCATAATCAGCAAGAGCAATCTGGTACGATCTGACTACAAGAGCTAAAAGTCTCCCACCTGAGATATTCGTGCTTTTATAGCATAAGAAAAAGAATTTTATTTCGATGACTCGATCCGCAAAATCGATAAATATCAATATGTGCCTGCGATTTTAAAAATATATATTTTATATTATATGAGTGAGCTATTGCATTTGACAAGTAAGTTTCTCGTATAGCATATTTAACCTTCTAAGTAGATCCTAAAATAGAAGGAAAGCGTATTTTCAGCTGTATAAGCTTGATTTTTGGTATATTCACACATTTCAATGCGATCAAGTTATTTGAGAATCTAGTTTTCAAACTGTGTGCGTAAGTACAGGGTATCTGTGCGTCAATAAATCACGAGAGTACTTTTACTTGTTTCTATTTGTATATTTTGTAATTAGCAGTTAATTGGCCTTCATTTCTTTCAAGTTTTGTTTATGTACACAACTCATTTATTAATATATGTAGGCATATTTGTTATTATTTATTTTGTATAAATATTCATATTTATTTCAATCCGTTCAGTCTAAGTTGTTTGTATTGAGTTTATTGTACGTAAATATGAGGCGAAGGCGGAGTAAAGGCCAGTTCCCTCCTCCCCCCCGTACGCTGGCAAGCAGTCAATAAATGCTTCTCCATTCATTTGCTCACTTGATGTTGGGTTTTCTGTTGCTGTTTCTGGGTCAAAAGTTGATTTTTGTCCAAAATACACGCGGTCAGCAATTAAGTTACATTTGAGTCATATTTGTTATTGTTAGCCCAAAAGCTGACATCAAGGTGAGATGGCGGCCAATCTGTGCATAAGCATTTTTTTTACCTTTATCATTAAGATTTCGCAGCGCAGTCTCTCGCGAAATAGGTCCGAAACACAGGCCGCATACATCACTGTATATATACATATATATATAAATATATATACAAGGCTACAAACCAGTTCGTTAACGTGTCTCTCTGGATTTTATAATCGCTGCAAAGATTATCCAAAAACATTTAAATGCGAGCAATGAACAAATTCTACATTTTTATTGGAATAAACAACAAGAGAAATTAATAACAGTGAAAGCTCTGTTGCCTTAACATCAGCCTTGCTCTCCTGTTAATAACAGACATTCAGGATAACATAATAGAGTAAAAGATCTGTTAACATGTTAAATCAACATTTTATGTATGTTTGATATTGATATTTGTATATATTTCCATTTATTTAGTTAGTAAGCTAAATAAGAAATGTAAACTTTTATTTTGGTATAAGACAATCGTGAACTTTTCAGTGTTTCGAAATCATTTTTATTTTAGGTCAGTTTTTCCCTCTCTTTAGATTTGTTTGTGAAATCCAGAAATGAGTATATAAAGATAGATTTTCCATAAATTGAATATAGTAACACAGCACATACACAGCACGTACATACTTTAACCAGAGACGCTTTATCTATGTTTTTCTCAATTATTGTTATAAATTTGACGTCTTTTAAGAACACATCTAAAATTATCTAAAACAATGGCAGTTCGCTCGAAGAGAGTTTTCGCTGTAGTTTTATTTAGGAAAACTTGCCTTCCTCGAGAATATAATATCTTGGAAACATTTCAAGCATCAGCTCCCTGACCTACATAGCTGTGCGAAAAGTAAGGAAAACCTTTTATTTTTCTAGCTCTAAGTGGAAATTATTATTTGCACTGCCAAGTGGCTAATAAGCGTAGCCGGAGGCCATAAGTCTCAACAGTCATTACCTACACCAAAAAGTTAGCCTCAAAACGATTTAAACTTTATTTTTAATACAAACGCAAATAAACAGCTCTAACAAACAACAACAATAAATATGATATGCTGTTCATTTAAGCCGCTAAAAACGTGTATAAACCCATACACACTCACACTCACACACACACCTGTATGTACAAGGCTTTGATGTAGTCAAGGTGTTAATACAACTACATATACAGTATTTTAACACTTATCATACTCACATACACACATATACGTACACGTACATACACACACATACAATTGCTAGCATTGCAGCTAACTTAATTATTAAAAATCACACAACTCTACAGCAAATGTTTCTCTCCCATCTTTCTGATAGCATTTATAGGCTGTTTTTTTTTTTTTTTTTTTTTTTAACAAATTCAATAAAAATAAAAATTTATTTTAAACTTTTTTTCAACTTTTCTTGATTAGAGTACCTTTTCAGAATAAATTCATTTTTGATATTAATAAAAATATTACTTTCGGAAATAGAATTTCCAGAAACCCCATGAAATTGGATTATATACTCTTATACTCCTCAAAAAATTGTTTATTTAAAAATATTCTGTACAATTAAATGAAAAATAGTTAAACTAAAATAATATTAAAAATTAAAACATTTTAAATTTGGAAAATTTGATGAACTAAGGCTTAAACTAAAACCTGATTTCATTTCCGAACGTAACAATTGTCACTCATTCGAGTACATTTAGCTCAGTTCAAGACCATCTTTTCTTTTTCCTTACTTGTCATTTATATGGAATAAATACATGGAAACACAAACTATAAACAAATTGCTTCAAATTCTTTCTAGACAGGTAGGTTTGTTGAGTTCTCGCCTGAAGCTATGAATGATTTGGCCCATTCTCAAGCTTGTCTGTGTGCTTTGCCTTTTTTTTGCTTTATAAAACCAAAAACTATACAAGTCCAAATACATAAGTAGCAATGACAAAGAGCCAAGCTTGAGCTCAACTAATTGGCTAATTGTAAGCCTCAAGTTTATTTGCTGGTCGCCAACCCGTCTGAGAGTTGCACAACTTCAACTTGGCACATAACCTGCCCTGCCATTAGTCATACCACAACCAAAACCGAGAGCTACCTACTTTGTAGCTCTTTAACGAGCTGCCCTCTGACATAGCGAGAAACAGACCCCCGACCTCAGTTATATGTGACACGTAGATTGCTTAAGCTTGCGAAGAATATGCTATAATCAACTTTTCTCTTTACTTTTCTGATTCTGTGTCTTTCCAACTAAATAGTTCACAACCACAATGCTGTACGATCCGGTGCGCAAGAAAGACGCATCGCCCACATATCAGACGGAGCGGGATGTCTGCTTTCAGTACTTTACACAGTGGAGCGAGGCCGGACAGGTGGACTTTGTGGAGCAGCTGCTATCGCGCATGTGCCACTATCAGCACGGACAGATCAATGCGTTTCTCAAGCCGATGCTACAGCGCGACTTCATCACACTGCTGCCAAGTAAGTAAACCAAGAAAAAATAGCACGAACAGACAGCAGGCAATAGTACAAGAAAGCCTACACATTGACAATATGTGGGGAGGGTTCGCTTTTAGCTCTGATTAAAAA